CACACACACACACACATTTATATAATCACTGCTTTAGAATCCATCTGGCATCAACTGGACCAACAACGTGACAGTCAGTCCCCTCCACCACCAGGTGCTTTCAGATCAAGGCACAAACAATGAGAAAGTCTGTCTCCCATTGAGCTATGTGACTGTTAAATAACAGTAAATTTTGATGTTCTCCGAAGACACAATGGGAAATAGCAAAATCCCCTGATGAGAGCTACAGTACGTCTTAATCTGCTTCTAGAAACGTCATCTGAAATTTACTTACATGTTTTAGTGCATGCAATGTCCAAATTACCAACTGAGCTGAACTGAAGCAAACTGCACTGAAATGAATCACTATTAAACTAAACTCATTTATCTCAATTACCTTGGGACCAGTTGTTTAAAAGTAACTGCAGAAAAATTGTTGAACTGAACGGGGGGGACTACAAACTGAACTAAGAATAAAACTTTAAACTTAAAATAGACCTATTATGCCCATTTTTACAAAATATGTAATAAGTCGTAGGTGTCCCCAGAATGTGTCTGTGAAGTTTCAGCTCAAAATACCCTACAGATCATTTATTATAAAATTTTGAAAATGCCCATTTTGAGTGGAAGCAGAAACATGCTGTTTTCATACATGTCTCTTTAAATGCAAACGAGCTGCTGCTCCCCGCCCCCTTTTCCAGAATAGGGCTGTTCCTTTACAGATCGTACCTCTGATACTCTGCTAAAAAACATCTGTTTGGTTTTGATTATCATGTCTATCATGCTGAAATTATGCGTTTTAAATCATATCAGTTTAAACTTCTGATATACGGTTTTCGGAGCGCACACATCCGAAGCATGCGCAGAGAAAGCGGCTGTCACACGGCATGTGAGTACTAAACTAAGTTTTCTTTCATGTCTTATTGCGCTTAAACTGTCAAATACACACAAGTTTGTTAAAAACACAAGTTACAAAAACAGTCAGTTATGTTTATGAAGGTAATGAAAACGCATGTTTATATTAGACGTGTGTGGCAGCACTAATAAACCAATAAATCCACTGCTCTCTTGTCTTCTCTGAGGCTGGGACTCTAAACAGAGTTCTGTGCTTGTCAGTGCAGCCAAAGACAGAACAGTTAGCATACTTTGCTCGAACTTTCGCCAGAACTGGTACACCGTTGTTGATTACCAAAACTAAATGGCGGTGCCGTGGGTGGAAACGTGCGTATTAAGGGGCGGTAATATTATAATAAGATCCCCTTTTCTATGTCATGGGGGAAGTGAAATCGGAGCGTTTTTTCACATGCTTGCAAAGTAACGTTTACCAAAACAAAGTTATTGGGTTGTCCTTTTTCACATTTTCTGGGTTGGTAGATGCACCAGGGACCCGATTATAGCACCTGCACAGTCTGACATTTGTCCAAAATTTTTGCACGTGGAAAAATAAATATGACCTCACGTTGTGTCAATCACGTTTACACACTGCCTCCGAAACTTTCGTCCGTCATAAAAAAAAAATCGGATTGGGTTAGATTTTCTGGATTTTTCGCATCCGTAGCATTTTGGGAGTTTTGACAATTCGGAGCCACCATACAAGCGAACGCCAAACTCCAGAATGGCACTTGTCAAGTGCATCCACTTCGTCTCGCAGCACAAAGCACTGTAAAGATCCTTGCACACTGAGGATCTGCACAATATCGGACTCAGTGTGCAAGGACCTTAAAGGTTTCTGCAGGAAAATAGCTAAATTGAACTGGTGAATAAATAAACTGAAAGCTAAACTAAAACGGAAATTAATTTACCCAACTAAATGACCATAAGACCTGTTGGTTAAAAGTAACTGCACAAAAATAGATAAAATAACTAAAGAAAGAAAGGAATGAATCAACGAACGAACGAATGGAGCGAGTGAGCTAAAATGAATAAGGACCAACTGGTTAAGAGCAACTGCAAAAGAATATACTGTATGTATTGTATTGAGTTGACTTTACCCAGCTGGTTAACAGTAAATGCACAAAAAAAAACATTATATACAGTATAGTTCAACTTAACTGCACTGGATAAGCTTTCATTTCTCAACACTGTAAAAGCCCTTCCTGGCTCTGAGGCTTTCAGTTCATGGTAAAGAGAAGAATGTCTGGATCTCTATGGCAGGAGCTCAATAAAGAGATGCATGTGGGCTGTGTCTGATATTGAGCTGTGCCGAGGTGGGCTGATTGTGAAAAAACACAGCCTTTGTTTTCTATTTCCTTCTCTATATATCTCTTTCTTTATATTCTAGTATGTGTGCCAGTCTAACTCTCTGGAAACCTCTCTTTCATGTCCGTCTGCCTGTTTCTTGCACTCTGATAGCCTTTTCTTTCTCTGTCTGTCCTTATATTTTATTTTTTGCTACACTGTAAAAAATTTCCCTGTAAATTAACGGTAATATACTGGCAGCAGGGTTTCCAGGAGTGTACCGTAATTTTACAGTTTTATTACGGTATTCTGAATTACGGCTTTTTTGTAAATTAACGGTAATATACTGGCAGCAGGGTTTCCAGCAGTGTACCGTAATTTTACAGTTTCATTACTGTATTCTAGATTGTTTTTTTTTTCTTTAATTAAACGGAAGAACTGGCAATTTTGCTAATCATTAACTTTATTATAAATATCTGTACTTGAACAAATTCACAGTTATTTGTGAAAAACTATCGTCATTTCATGTACACACACACACACACACACACACACACACACAAAAATCAAGCTTCTCATCTAAAAGTTTGGTCTAATGTGAAGTAATTGTGACAGAAATATATCACTATTGTACAGTAGAATATGTCGTTTTCAAAGTAATATAATAATAAAAATAACAATTATAGTAATAATAATAATAATTAAAAAATTATGTTTAAGGAATAATTACACAATTGTTCTCAATTGTGTAATTATTTAACAATAATTACACAATTTCAAGTAAATCTTAATTTTTTTCAGTGCAGAGCACTCACATAAAATTTTAAATTATTCATAGAAGTGGAAAATGCTTCTTTTCTCTTTTTAATTGCCAATTGTGTAATTTATTCTTATCAGTTCAAGATTTATTGTAAATAGGCCTGTCACAATTGCTCGATATAATCAACTGCGTCAACGCTGATAATTAGTCGACATCATTATTTTGAATCGACTGATGATTTTATATTATTTTACCTTTTAAATTTCGTTTTTACGCTTCGACTAAAATAACAACAGTTTCTTCCACACCACTAGTATGAGCAGTGCTTAATTTGTAAATTGCGAGGTCCCGGAACAAAGTGGGGTGACCGGTCCGGCAAGTGATTAGAGGACGGAGAGGTAACGGTGCATTCGAGCAACATTAGTGGACCAACTTAACTGATTAACAGCTTGCATCAGTTGCTTTTATAGTGTGCATGTACTCTAAAAAAATAAAATCATGGTTTTAATAAAATCATTATTTTGTTTCAACCCAAACATTTTTTTTTTGTGTTTGGGTAGTTTTTGTGTAACCCAGCTCCTGGGACCGGACAGTTGCAACAACAAAGGGGTTGTAATGAGTGCGGACTGCATCCTCTTCAGAGTAGTTCTCAGTGCCGCCGACGACTTGCATTTTTTGGTCAAATATAGATTTGTGGATATTTTATCTATAAAACCGTTTCTTTGCTGTAAATTATTTTATTTTATGCAAAGCAAACTACAGGGATGCGATGTCATTCACCAAAACGAGTCGCATCAGTCTTTTACTTTTCAATGTAATTTTTGTTTTTTTTACTTCTAAAATTAAAGTTAAACAAGTTTAAATGTAAGAAATATTGTATACGTGTTTAAATGGTGAAATATGTTCTATTAATAACTGTATTTAATGAAAATGTATGTGCAACTTCACTTGCCTAGATGAAATCCCATTCGAAATCCATGAGATTTTTTTAGTAGCGAGGCAACCTTTGGATTGACTGTAGATTTCTTATTCGCCACCTTCCCCGTCTTCTTGGAGACTACCTTGCCTCTGCAGGTCTTTGAGCCTCTTTCTGGGTTTATTCCAATGAAGCGTCTAAGGGCAGTTGCACTACAAATTACCTAAGTAAACAATAACCATTTCTTAAAATTCTGATTAATTAATTTGATTTTAGAATTTAGATTAATTGGTAACACTTTATAATAAGTAATACAGTAACAAAGCACGTATAAATCATATCTACCATACAGCATTTGCCGGCTCTGCCATACCTAAAATAAAAATAAATAAATAAATAAAAACAATAACAATTAACACATTTTTTTCACAACTCATTTCAAAGAACTACCTTCAAGAAAATTCAATTTTAACAATCGTGTACCATAGCAATGTTAACAATTTTATATCTCAACCATTAGTAAATGTTTCTACTTCATCACATGTAATGACACACTAACCCAGCAAAATCAGACGAGGACTGGCAGGCAGATTGAGTGTCTTCTCAACATCAGATGCAGATGCAGCAACCTGTAGAGAACACACAATACACAAATAAGAATACATAATATAATTTAGTGAAGTGGAAAGAAGAAAATTAAATACTTACGTCTGCATGCAAAACCAGTCCATCTTCATGTTCCTGGAAGTGGGACATTAGAATCTTGACAAGCAGGTGTGCCATCTCTATGTTCTCAGCCTGGGACAGGACATGCTTCACCTTTTCATTCAAAACACGTACTTAAACAATTAAAAATATTCTGTCTACCGCTCTCTCCTTCTTACACACACACACACACACACATACACAACTGTATCCGAGTATGAGGAACAAGTTATAATGTAAGTGTCAGAATGAAGTAGCATATAGATAGAGGTTTTGTACGCGGTTTGCGCCAATTTATCCAGTGCAAAATATGCGATTAAAATGTGCTCATATACAAAGCCCACTTAATAAACAATACGTTAGAATATATTTAGATTACACTCTAACTTGCTTTAGATACGACTTAAGATGAAATCCGCGCAACGCTTCCACTGAGAATGCGTCACTTCGAAAAAGCAAACGTTTCTCCTCATCCTCCACCGATCAAGTCAAGTGCTCATGCAAAAGGCGGCAAGTTTACATGCTTCCTTAGTCAAATTAAGTTTAAACGCCTTTTTTCGATTTCCCTATATATAAGGTTAATATATGCCAACTTTACACACGCCTAACTTAGGAACAAGAATGCAAATTAAGCAAATCCTCCATTTTAAACCACACTGGGTTGGCGCCAATGCAAAACGCAAATATAAAGATTGTGCAAATAAGTTAATTGTTTCAGATAATCAAGCAAACACACTTACTTCAGATCCCTGTTATCTGTAATCGAGCTTCAATTTGAGATAAAATCCATTTAGGCTATATATCCACTGAGACCGACACTTCTCTCACTGGTATCAAAAGCTAACCGTTGCTCCCCTCCCCCACCGAACACAAGTATTTTATATTTCCCTCTATATACGGTTAACATTTACAGGACTTTACACCAGGAAACAACAAAACATGCAATTAGCTGCAAGAATCGCTCTCTCTCTTTCTTACACACACACACACACACACACACTTAACTTAACGCTAATTCACCGTCTTAAACCTCAGGGTTGGCAACAATCTGTCAAAGGCAAATTAAAAGATTGTGCCCACATAAAAAATAAATATATCAAATAAACTTATTTCAGACTCTGATCTGCTTACCTGTAAATGAGCTTCAACTTGAGATGAAATCCATGCATATAAAACTTTCACTGAAACCGATGCTCCTCGATGCATCGAGCCTTTGGTTCCCCTCCCCCACCGATCACGTGTTCATTTACGGTAAGACACCGTAATTTTAGAAAACAGTTCAGTACTGTAAATTTACGCTGTAAATACGCTGTAAATTTACAGGGATTTTTTACAGTGTAGAAAAACTTAACTAGTTTCTATCACCATTCCAATTACACTCAAAGCAAAAACTCCTGGTAAGCAGATTTTATTTGTATTCATCCAGAGTTAAACATCTCATTTGCAGTCCAAAACCTTACACCTCACACTCCAGGAAGCAGACTAAACCCTGTCTGGGTCCAAACAATGCCGTCCACCTCATACCAAATTCATGACTTCATGTCACATACACACACCTTTCACAACAGTTCCCCGAGGTTTCCAAGAGTCATCTGTAGGTCAGCTTGGTGTCTCCTGCACAGCAATTTCAACAGTAACTATACATTACCTCAATTTCATCACCCCAGCAAGATCCCGGCTCCAAAATATACAGGCAGTTAGTCTCTTTTCAGCCAATTGCTTGCATCATTATCTGTTTTACTAGCTTTCAGGTGGGCCAGCTTTTCAGGAGCTGCCGGTAGATAGAGGTACAGTTGGAGGAATTTTAATGAACATTGCAAATGGATGGTATCTGCTCACTATGGGGAGCATTTGTTTGGACATAATTATCTGTTACAGCTGGCAAATTGAGGCCCATATGTGTCGGCATTAGCACACGTTAATAAAAACGCAGCACTGAGCTAGCCTAGGCCACTCATTTAACCGAGCTGCTTCACATTGATCTTACGGATATGGTCAAAAGATCGGATCTGTGCATTAAGACTTGCAGTGTAAACACAGCCTTAGAAAATGTGGGAGCCAGTCATGAACGCACTCATCTGATGTGCCAAACCAGACCGGGAAATCTGAAATGTTTTAGTCTCCACTAGCAGTATTCACACAGACAAAGAGCCTAGAAGAAAAAGAATATTTCACATGGCTCAATAATAAGGATTTTTTTTTTTTCTGGATCATTGGGCCTGTAGCTCAACGTTTCACAGGCCTCACCACAAAAGAATGCTCTATTTTAATTTTTAGCAATGTATTTATATTTTGTATTTCTCATTTATATTTTTATTAAATATTAAGATGATGCATTTTTAACAATATTTTTAAAAGATTATTTTTAATATCTTTATTGTTATTATTTTACAATGTTTATTCTAGTATATTATTACTAATGTATAACATTGTCTATTATAACATTTTCAATTACAAAACAATTGCAACAAGCTGGAACTTCCTGTAATAAATTTATTTGGATTTATATTGATTATTTAAATGTAATATTAATATATTTATATGTAATCAATTCTTATATAAACTAAAAAAAACATCATAAACACCATTTTCATTATTTGTTGTTATTATACATTGTTAATTATATGTTGACAATGTTAATTACTTTATAATTTACATATTTCAAATTATTAAAAAATTGCAACAAGCTGAAAATTACTGTAATACATTTAGTTGGATGTATATATTTAATATTATTATTTATATGTATTAAATTCTTATATAAACTCCATAAATTCATAAACACATATTTTTATTATTTGTTAATTATAAAATGTTAATTGTTATAATAAATAAATTCTTATATAATCTCAAAAACATTGATGGTAAATGATGCCATATAATGTTGCACGTTTGTAGTTTAACACATTCTTACTGATATTTTTGCTTTACAAAGTCTTTGTCATTTCAAACCTGTGTTATTTTTTTATTGAACAAAAGGCTAATTTTAAATATTTGAATGCTACTCATTTCATACAGTATAACAACAGTTCCACCAGAAGCTACTAAAAAGAAAAAGAAAAGCATCATGGAAAGTCAATTCAACATGCACTATCTTAAGTCTTCTCAAGTCTTTGCATGACAAATACACTGAGATACACAGTATAATATTACTGCAGCATTGTATGGACCAGTGTTATGGTGCTTTTTGTAGCTCAAAAGATGTGGTCACTTTGAACTGTCACATAGAAACGAGCAGCATGAAATGTCTCCTTTTGTATCAAGCAGAAAAAATGTCATTACATGAAGATAAAAAAAAATAATGATTGAAATGGGTGAACTATCCCTTTAAGGCCTCCTTAGCTTTAGCCTTTTGTTTCTGATGCAACGCAGCACCAATAACAGGTTAAAATCCCTGATGTCTTACTCTCGGATCCCCATAACGCTGACACAGCCCTGCAGAAACCTCGTAGGAAGGAGTCTTCAAAGACAAGCAGGTGATGGCAGGGAGCAATGTGGTGTATGTGGGGGCGGTTGGGCTGGAGGGGGAGTGGCTTAAATGCTAATAAGAGAGCAGACGAATAAAGGTATCAAAATGACTGTGAAGGAAGGAATAAGCTGTGTCTGCTCACCGAGTTGTTGCAGCTGAATCGATGTTGAGGGGCTACCGAGGTAATTTACGACATGATCGCTATGTCGCTGAGAGTAGGGCATAAATCTACCTCATCACAATTAAACCAAGGGCATAGCAAGGACTAGCCTAATGTGGAGAGAAGAAAAACAGGAAGAGAAACAGATAAATTAAAAGATGGAACAGTTATACTACACATCGCATTCACTAACTACCCACAACCCATGTTAACCAGGTGCTGAATTAGTTGAAATAGTGCTCCACCATATTTACATTAAGTAAATTACATTTTTAGCACAAATGCTTGCTTTCTATGCAAATTAGGCTCATTATGGATTCACAAATCGGAGCTGCACTATTAGTCCAATAAACCACTATTGTGTTTTGTTGTAGTTCTTTGTTCATTTGCATGCTAATATAAGAGGCATTTCAACAATAACTAATCAAGAGAAAATGTTGACCAGTTTCTCCAATTCATTCATCAATGGTTTCTGCAGTTTTCCTCACCACTCCAGCTTGGTCAGTTCATTTACATAATTAAACGATAACATATATCTCCTATGCTACCCTCTAAATGCAAAGGGCCCTACTGAAAACCAGGCCTGCAAATGAATGAATCTAAACAATCTACTGACAAGCTTCCCAAGGGATACTACCATACTTCATCATATGTAATGCAATTTCTCAGATGTTCGCTCCATAAAAAGCTGCAATAATTAATTTAGAGGCGTGGAAAATTAAATTAGACAGATTTGAACTCACAAGATCAGATCGGCTGCACAGATTATTTGTTTTCTCTAAATGTGATAAATTAATAAATATATTAATACAGAAAGTGAGTTAATATTTGGGTTAATTTTGCACTCTTTCATCACAAAATGTTTTATTTGACAAATTATAGTAAAATTGACAAAAATTATTGAACATGATGAGATGAAATATATAAAGCTAAATGAAATAATATACGAGTCGTATGATAAATTAAAAGATGTATATACAGGTGTCAGACTCTGTTCCATGTTTTGTGTGTGTCCTGCTCCCCATGTGCCTTCCCATGCCCTTATTTGGTTAGTTTCCTGTTCGTGTCCTGATTAGTTTATTTCATTTGTCCCAGGTGTTTCCCTTGGTTTTATTGCTCCCAGGTGTGTCTCGTCATCCCCTCCTCCTGTGTGTGTGTGTGTATAAAATGTGTTCCCAGTCCCAAGTTCTCTGTCCGCTGTTGTACGTCTTCGTGGAACGTCTTCCTGTGTTCGTCTCCCTTGGTTCGTTGGTGCAAATAAAGTCTTGTCAACATATTCTCCAGCGTCTCCTCGTCCCTCGTGTGTGTGTGCAACGTGACAACAGGCTGTTCAAAAGTTTAGGGTCAGTAAGGTTTTTTTTTTTAAAAACTAATACTTTTATATTGCAAAAATGCATAAAATTGATGAGAAAATACAGTAAAAATATTTATGATGTTAAAAGATGCAAAACATTTCCATTTCAAATAATTGCTGTCCTTTTGAACTTGTCTATTTATTCAAAGACTCCAGAAAAATATTAAATATTACACCTGTTTTCAATATTGATAATAAAAAGAAATGTTTCGTCAGCACCAAATCAGCATATTATGATTTCTGAAGGATCATGTGAAACTGAAAACTAGACTAATCATACTGAAAATTCAGTTTTGCCATCACAAGAACAAAGAAATTAAAAATAAATTATTCAAACAATAATAAAAGAGAAAAAGCTATTTTACACTGCACAGTATTACTGTTTTTACTGTATTTTTTATCAAATAAATGTAGCCTTGGTGAGCATAAGTGTGAACATTAACATTCAATTTTATCGACACCAAATCTTTGAATGGAAATCTATATGAAAATCACAATGTTCACAAAGTGAACTGTTCTAATTGTCCAAAATCGAATTGCTTCCTACTAGGTCATAAGCGCAAACCTCAACCCAACCCACATAAACCCGCTCTGCTTTATGCCACAACTTTTTTGAGTTAATGTTAAAAATTAAATAAAGAGATAATATGTCAGGCCAGACATCTGTTGCCAAGGCAATGGCCCACCCAGCCAGACCGTGATTGGTGCTGGTAGGCGGAGGCTGGGAATGGGACGCTTGATGAGCGTCTCAGGTACGTGGGCGTGTTCAGCCCCCGCGTTCTGACGGATGAAGCGATGGGGGAGCTCATCTGACAAAGTCATCTTGCCCCCCAACTGATACACCTTAATGATGAATGTGTACCTGACGTAGTTGACAGGAGAAGGTGGAAAACAATTAGTGCCATGTTGATCTGCCTGTCTCTCTTTTGGGTGAAAGCGGGACAATCAGTCTCCTTATCTCCATTAGCGCCGACAAACAACGAGACAGAAAGCAAGAACAAACGAGCGCAGAGAAAAGATAAACGCACACCGGTGCAGGAGGAGAGAGTGGAGAACAATGAAGTGTCTGGCCTCGTGACGCCATTATCATTAGTAATAATACGAGCTGAGTGAAGCGCGAGAAGGGGATGAAATAAATAACAGGATGCGTGATGAACAGATGAGACCGGGAGAGGAACAGGGGGATACTGAGAGCCGCAGCTCTGTGGCATCCAGGT